GGTTCTCCCTTCAGGATGAAGCAGGGCCGACAAAATTTCTCTTGTTTCCTTCCATTTTAGTTAGCAAGGTGCATCTTTCTGTACCCCCATTACTTTACCATCCTGCGTTGTGGACTGCTTTTGCCCACCTTTACCACTTGATTGTCAGTAAAAGAGCACATTTTTCTTCTTTTAGCACAGATCTCTTCAGGAAGTTTGAATACTGTTCCATCTAAGATTATAATTAACACTTACTTAAAGATTAGCAAAATAATAATAATTTGCACTGGGCATGTGGATGTGTATAGTATTATTATACTTTAGTTAATATTTGAAAATTTTAATAAAAATTTAAAAATAACTTGTTTCTATTATAGCAATAGAATGGCTATCCTGGACAGTCAAAAAATACATCCTTCAGATGGATTTAACTATGCAGGCCAGAGAAGTTTCATACCATATTCTTCACATGGATGTCAATCTTTGTGTGTATTTTAAGAAGATAGTTCAGTTGACTATTTTAGAGGTAAAAATCCAAGACATGTAAAACAGTACAAACTCATATTTTTAAGCTTTTGATTACAATTACAGTATGCCTATAGACTACAGAGCTAAAAAGGAGCATTATACTTTTACCATCAAGAAAAAAACTAGAATCTATGCTAAGTATGAATTTTAAAAACTATTGATCATTTATATGTACAGAATATTTCCCCTTTCCCTCCTTTTCAATGTCACTTGGCAAAAACTCATTTCAAAATTTAAAAAATAGGTTGTACATCAAAAGGTAACTGTAATTATAAAACTATCCATCTGTCAGGAGTCCTTAGATTATGGCCTGATAAGAACAGGTCAGCACAGCAGGATATGAGCAGCAGGCGAGCAAGAGAAGCTGCATCTATATTTACAGCTATTCCCCATCACTCTTGGTATCACGAGTCCTGCCCCCAAGAGGGACAGCATTAGATTTTTTTAGATTTTAAGTCTGTACTTTTTAAAAAATAGCATATGTTTGCAATATATAATAAATACATTCATGTTGGGGAATTGGTACATACATACATATCACATCGTGATCCTTTTAACTTCCCATTGGGTTACATCCCCAGCCCTTCTAAATTTTTTATTTTGAAACAGGACCTCACCAAATTGTTAGAATATCTAAACTGGGCTTAAACTTGTAATCTTCTTGCCTCAACCTCCCATAATACTCAATTACAGGCAGGTGCCATGGTTAGTCCAGCTTGTTTATTTTCTGAGAACCTTCTGAAACTACTTCCCTAACACTCCAATACTTACCCTGGGCTATGGAAAAACTGTCTTCTATAAAACTCGTCCTTGGTGCCAAAAAGTTTGGAGACTGCTGATTTACATTATAAGTTTCTGTTTTTTTAAAGAGTATTGGTATATCAAAGGAAACTGACAATGTAAAATAAAAATAATTGTTGCTTTTTCTAATCTGGAAACTGGAAATCTATTTGATCTAAGGAGGCTTTTAGTTATGTATGATAATGAATTTCATGTCTGTTTGAAAACTTTGTAAAAGAATGAATAATTTCCTGCGAAGAGATTTTTTAATGTTTTTAATCACAAAAAATCTGGTAAGTTGGTTAGGTAAATGATATGTTGAGTAGCTTGATTGAATCTCCAATATTTAAACAGATCAGAAAATCCCACTGTCCCTTATAAACACACACAATTATTATTCGTTAATTTAAAAATAAAATATTCCAAAATTTAGAAATGAATTTCCATATATTTACTGATTGTGCAAATAATCATTGTGTGCATATGGCAAGAAATTATAACTTCTAACCAGATGGTTACAATATAAAATCATAGTTTGTTAAAAGCTATCTGAGCCAGGCATGGTGGTGCACGCCTGTAATCCCAGCGCTCAGGAGGCTGAGGCAGGAGGATCACTGAGTTTGAGACCAGCATGGGCTACATAGTGAGATCCAGGTCAGTCTCAACTACATAGTGAGACTCTGTCTCAAAATATCAAAAAAAAAAAAAAAAAAAAA